AAAAGCTTTATTTCAACAACAATAAAATACTAACCTTAAAAATCATTAAACTGTAGACCGGATTAAATTTACAAACATAGAATACACACGTAACTAACAAAAACCGAGGCTTACCTATGGCAGGTAAGCTAATTTACTGAGTGCAAGGCTCCACCCGGTGTATAGGTCTCACTACACCATACGTACGTACACACACTATAAGATTAAGAATAAAACACACTGCACTCCGTGACAGTCCCACCACCGCACACGAGGGCCTGCCTGGAGGCCTCGGTTCCTGCAATAAAAGACCAAATAATCTCAAAAAACAAAGAAATAATGCTAACAATTACACAACTACACTTAAATACGAAAGAAAATCAAAACACCTGCTATGAGGTTAAATGTCTCATCAAATCGAGGTAGATGTTCATTACAATTTCATATAAACATACAAATAAAGTAACCAAAATTACATAGAAAACTGGTCTAACAGAGGACATACACAGCGCAAACACACGCCAAAGAGCAGTTTCAAGTCACAGGGACTAAAGTCAACAAAGCAGCAGCATCAAAGAATGTTGCCCCGTAAGCTGCACTGAATGCAATGGATCCTAATCGAACTATTCCTCCTGAAAAGAATTAACCGTAAAATTATTTACCAACTAAAATACTATACCTCAATAGCGTAGTTGCACATACCTTCATGTTGTCGCTATAGTCACGAGTTCGGTCGCACACGCAAACGGACATCAACACGGCGAAAAAGGCACGGGATTACAGCCGGAACATATTGGATGAGAAAGGCAGCCGCCAACTATCCACTATGACGGTTGCCCGTCGGAGAACTATAATCCGAATAAAACAAATTACTTCAAGCACACCTCTTGATGCTCACTAGTTAGCAGACACATACCTGTGAGACGGTGAGAGCCAAAACTGGAATGGGCGTGCCTCGGGCAGTGACGCACAATCGGTGCTCCAACATACAACAGTGTCTTAAAAGTCCCCTTTTATATACCCATAAAAGTATATGATTGGACAACTCATGCATTCTTGGCATATTTAAAGAACCAATGCACCCACTGACCATCCCACTACACAAGCAAACGCGTTCTTAAGCTAATTTGCATTCATTAGGATACAGAAATTCAATTCAGATTCCAATCGATATGAAGTATCCCTGCTAAAAAAGACCTGGGCCCGTATTCTTAAAGTTTCTAAGAATGCTCTCAGAGAGCTCCTAATTTAGCTTAAAAATTTATACGTAGGAGTCTTAGCTTAAAATAAATTTGGGACCAATCTGAGAGTAACTCTAAGCGAGGAAAAGACAAAAGCTTTCATCTTAGTGAGGAGGCGGGGCTGACCCCTTTGCTACGTATGACACAGTCGTTTGAGAACGATGATAGGCTGGTTGTTCAAGAAGGGGGAAAAAGAGAGAGTGCTTTAGGGTTTATGATAAGCCTTCACTTTGAAATTACAGGCGTAATATTTCCTATTTTACTCTCTCTCACGCACACACATTATATACAGTATATGAACACACACACGCTGTATATATATATATATATACATATACATATATACTTTTTTATTTACCATGCTGTTAATGTTGTACTTAAGGTATTTCATAGGAAACGAACATCGATACAATAAGGTTCTGAAAGGGCTGTAATTGTTTGTGTGATCACTTTGCTTATAGAAGATTATGACAGACCCAAATCATCACTGCTGCGTGTACAGCCATGTTCACACAGCAGCAGAATACTGTTGTCTGTCCTGTATTTGGGTCCTTAACATTGTTACATTCACACAATACAGTTATTTTCAGGACTCACAACCGCATTCTCGGAAAACACGCGCTATATGAACTGGACGACTAGTTGTAGTACAGTGCGAGAGAGCCGCTCATGTGTCGTTTCACTTTGGGTACAGCGACGGAGAAATGAGCTGTGTGTCATCTGAAGGTTTTAGATCCAGTCACTGTCCTTCACTGGAGTGGTTTCTGACAGTTTTGTGTTCTGTGCTTCACAGTGCGTGACTCAAATGCAGTGTCATGCGCGAGACGCAGAAAAGAATGCAAGCGAATATACAGGCTTGACTCTCGTTGCACGTTCATACAGACATTATTCGAGACGCTAATGTAAGCTGCTGTTTGAACGGGACATTTCAAGACTGTAAGGAAATGCGGTTGTCAATCCCTAAAAAACTGACAGTGTGAACGAGGCCATAATTAATGTAGTGATTACACTGTAACCGATTTTTGTAATTTGAACAGTATTATACTGTAATATGTACAGTAAGATACTGTAAAGTGTATACAGTATGTAGCATTCCTAACTGGAGGTCTGTTAGAAGGTTTTATCACTTCTTAACCCTTGCACACACACACACACACACACACACACACACACACACACACACTGTAATACGGATAAACAGACCGCAAGAATAAAGGGACTGCTACCCAATTACCGACTACGCCACCCAGGGGCCTATTTCTGGGGAAAGCCCTTCACATTAGAGCAAGGCTCACACGTTCATTACGGCTGAGTCAGGTATTAAACGTGGGTTGAGTAAAAGAAATTAACACTTTATTTTAAACAATAAAAATATCAAACTTTAACATACCAAACAAAACAAAATAAAGGGTCACACTAGCAACACATAAACATTACCACTTCAGAATTGGGGCTGGCACCTCTAAGCAGGATGGAGACCGCAATCATACGTGCACACTCACACCACAGCACGCCACATTCTGAAGAAAAAAACAAAGAAAAAAAAATTAAACCAAACAAACACTTAATGGTCTTAAAAAAAACAACACACCTTAACCAAACACATTACACATCAATTTTAACAAATAAAAGTTTGCCAGGTCAGTTCTGCCCATCCGATCAAGGCGCTGCATCTGGCCACCACAACAAACAATTTGCTGACTGACTAAAACCAGGCAACAATATTACAACAAAAAAGAAGAACCATACAAAATAACCCCACGTCAAAACACAATAAGAAAAAAAAAAAAAGAAAACAAATACAAATCCAATTCCAAAAGAGTTGAGACACTGTACAAATTGGGCCAAGGCTCATTTAAAATGGACTGTGGCAAAGTGGAAAACTTTTGTGGTCAGACGATTAAAAATTTGGAAACCAAAAAAGTTATTTTTGGAAAACTGGGACGCCATGTCATCTGGACTAAAGAGGACCTTTCTGGGAAGACCTTGCATTTTCCAACATGACAATGGCAGACCACATACTGCATCAATTACAACATCATGGCTGCATAGAAGGAGGATACGGGTACTGAAATGGCCAGCTTGCAGTCCAGATCTTTCACCCATAGAAAACATTTGGCGCATCATAAAGAGGAAGATGCGACAAAGAAGACCTAAGACAGTTGAGCAACTAGAAGCCTATATTAGACAAAAAGGGGACAACATTCCTATTCCTAAACTTGAGCAACTTGTCTCCTCCGTCCCCAGACGTTTGCAGACTGTTATAAAAAGAAGAGGGGATGCCACACAGTGGTAAACATGGCCGTGTCCCAACTTTTTTGAGATGTGTTGATGCCATGAAATTTAAAATCAACTTATTTTTCCCTTAAAATTATACATTTTCTCAGTTTAAACATTTGATATGTCATCTATGTTGTATTCTGAATAAAATATTGAAATTTGAAACTTCCACATCATTGCGTTCTGTTTTTATTCACAATTTATACAGTGTCCCAACTTTTTTGGAATCGGGTTTGTACAACTTGAATCAAATCACAAACAAAAATAAAAGAAACTCAGAAATGACTGATGGCAGTGAGGTGACTGATCGTCTATTACACGCCGCTTAAGACTTTAATTAAAGTTTTCTATTCACGACACATTTACAACAGATGGAAAAAAGAAAGGCACCACACCACAGGTCCCAAACCACGGTCCAGCTGATCCTGCGGGTGTTAAATGCTGTAAATGTAAACAGTTAGACGAATGCAGGCACTGTGCGACTACACAGAAGCTGCAACAAACTTATAACGCTGATCTGCCGGTCCAATCGCCGAGTCGTACAATCCAGTCTCCCTTGATTCCCGAAACCGGATAATCATCACTGTGACAAGGTATGATAATGTATCTCTATAGCGAAACGAATGCAGAAAACTGAAACAGCCAGCAGATGGGCTTCCACAAAGGTTTAGACAAGACCCAAAGCCCACTGCAACGTCCCGTGCACGTTGGCCTGCACCTTGAATGTAAGACACACAAGACAAATTGAACGAGCCAAGCCACTAACTAATCACACAATTAAACGCTCGTAGTCAAAACATACCTGTAATGCGATTCACATGGCACGGCAACGGTTGCATATTGAATGCATCTCCATGGAAGCAGCCATGGCTGAAGGTGTTCCGAAAAGCTCCTCAGTCTACCCTCGCAAAAGTTCACACACCCCACCGGAAGTAAGGTGACTCTTGCTGACGCATTAAAAGACACACACACATAGCGACACTAAGGCCCCTTTTATATGCTACCAAATGAGCGTAATTCAAAAGACACTCCCTCTATTAATGAATTACGTCAGAGGTAAAGTACTGCTACAAGAATTTTACTGTAAACCGCAAAAAATTATATGGTCACTACTGTATTTCCGACAAACTAGACTACAGGAGGTAGGAACTAATATAGGGCAGACAGGTGAGCACAATAAGGTGATTAACTGATAATGAGGACAGGAACAACCTAATAAGGACACAGAGGGAGAAACCAAAATCGACAGTCCACAGGGGTGTGACAGATCGCCCCCCCTCCCGGAAGGCGTGACCTCGCGCCGTGGAGACATAGGAAGGGACGGAGGGGGACTTAGGAGGAGGACAAAGAAGTGGATGTGGGATGGAGACAGGGGAAGGCAAAGGGCTGGCAGGCAGACATGACAGGTGGAGGCTCCAGCGGAGGACTGATATCCGGGAGGAGGCCGGCAGACCTCGACGAAGTGGATCCGGCGAGATCCTCCATGGGGCCGATGGTGAGTGGCGACCTGTTTCTCGCCAGAGTTCACTTCACAAAGGTGGCAAATTCCTCCCGAGGACCATCTTCGGACGACTGCGCTCTGCACTCGGCATTCAGACTTGACTTGCATCATCCGGATAGCTAGTGACGTTAGCGACCATCAGGAACAGTCTGGTATGGTCCTCGAGAGCCTTGCCTTCCTGCTCCAGCAGGAGAAGGAGGAATCCGGGGCGAGTGAGGGGATCCATGGGGTAAACACAATGGAAAGAAAAACACCAAGGAAAAAACGGAAAAACAAACGGAGGGGAGAACACGGAATTTAAACTTTTTCTTGGGTCGGTTATTCTGTCACGGTACGGGTGTTCTAAAGAACAGGCAGGACGATGAAGATGACGAATCAAAGGATATTTAATAAAGACACAAGAAATCCAGACATGATAGACATGAACATGGACATTGGCAATAACCGACAAACTAGACTACAGGAGGCAGGAACTAATATAGGGCAGATAACGAGGGGCAGACAGGTGAGCACAATAAGGTGATTAACTGATAATGAGGACAGGAACAACCAAATAAGGACACAGAGGGAGAAACCACAATTGACAGTCCACAGGGGTGTGACATTATTCATCGTGCCATTTTTTTATGTTGGGAGTTGCAGCCTTTTTTTCTGACTGACGGCCGGAATACCGCCAAAAGGCTGATAACATCGACTGGTGAGTAAGTTAAGGTCACCTATATTAGTCGAAATAAACCTTAGTTAAACCGAGAAACACGTTTGTACGTTCTGCTGCCCTTTAATGCAAGTTAGCTCCTCTGGTGAGTCGTTATTTAACCTTACCAGCGAATTAACGTGAAATACTGAGGTAAAGTGCGTTTGGCAGACCACTGTTTCAGTGGAGATTTTAAAGAGTATTTTCTAGTACTTCTTTTGTTTGTTATTTTCAGATTTCTAGTCTGGATGTAGTCTGCAACGTCGGAGGTGTATTTTGGATCCTCTTCTTGTGAATGACATAGTATCGATGA